TGAAGGCTGGACAATATAACAATACCCGAGATGGTATTATCCAATTACAAGCGCTCTTCTTGAAAGTTGATTAAAAAAGTGCATTAAAACTCTCCGATGCTAGGCGTAAGAGAATGTCAGATATAGACCTCATAATTACACAAAGAGTAGAAGGAGAAATTTGCGTTTCGTGTGTTTCAATGATAAAATCCATTTTTCTTTAAAAATATTTTCGAAAATGACAGGATAATCAAATTTATGGTTTACGCTGGCGACAACAATGTGAAGTGTAGCCCTTTTGTTCTGTGTAGAAAGAATATTTCCCTCTGAAATATAAGGACAATTGACTCTTAGTGTTTCTACGTGAAGAACTATGAAAACGTTTTGCACAGAAATTAAAAAAGATAATTTAACTCAACGGTATTAACCTTTCTAGTTGACCCATATAAATTTTAGACGAATCATCCATTTATTTACATACTTACTCTCTATCCTTCTTCACATTTAACGCATGTTCGTAACACTAATTGCAATCGCAAAATTTACTAATATATTTAAATATTTAACCAGAAGGCCTGTTATTTTTATATTGAGCTGCAAGAGTTCAGGAATTACGAACTGTTCAGCTCGGGGTATTCATTTATTGGGGTGCATTGATCATTGGATGCAGAAGGACGGTGGAGTTCATAAAACCAGTACCATAGCCAAATGACTTGATTGACTGCATCTGAAGTGTGAAGACGGTAACCTGCGTGAAGGTAAGAACGCACGGACCTTCAATTCAACTGCCAACTGTCTTTTCATTTTGTTGGTTAGGGAAACGGTAACGCTTTAGACATCCATTCTGGAAGAGCTCTTTTCTAATCTCGGTCGTGACACCGGCTATAGTGATTTATGATTTTCGTGGATTTCCTCGGTTACTCCAGTCAAATGGCGGGAGGGTGTCTCGAGTACAATACGACTACTTTATTCCAAGTCCTTTCGAACTTATCATTCACTTATCACCTTAACATTCGACGCTGTATAGTTTACTCTCTGACATCACCTTCAAAGAATCGGCAAAAGTCCTCCCTTTCGCAGTAGGGGACGCAGATCTGAGTATATTTGGTTTCATATCCGCAATGCAGTCAGCTGTGGAAGGGGCTGATATTAGGTGTAGACACGTGAAAATGCTCTCGGAATATTTCCACGTACCTCTGTTGCAGGTTCTTCTCAGGGTTCATCTGCTAAAGAGTATTATTGGAATTTTGGATCAGACAATGAAAGCTACAAAAATTGGGGGGTTTATTGAAGTGAGTAGATTGAATTGCAGCCGTAAGTATACACATAAACGTCAATGAATTTTGGGAATATTCAAAATCGTGATCATGCTGGCCGAGGTCTCGAGTTCTTACTCTCCAACGGGCACTCTCATGAGGTCAACGTATGAAGATTTAAATCCATAAATTAATTTTTTCAGTAGAAGATTATCCTAATTTATAGACCGTATTCTATACCTCACATTACAAGCGTAATCAAATACAATAGCAACGGATGGGACGTGTAGCAAGCACTTGAGGGTCGAGGTATGCATACAAATTTTCAGTTAGAAGATCTAGGTGCACGAATATATGAGAGGATGATATCAAAATAAATCTTAAATGTGACGTGATGGTGTAGACTCTATGTAACTGGCACAGAAATAGGACCAGTTTTGAGCTTTTGTGAACACGATAATGAACCTTCTATTTCCACTTTATTACTAGCTGAGCTACTATTGGCTTCATAAAAACTTTCTTCCATGGAGATGGCTGTAGAATTTTGTCGGACTCTAATGATAGTAAGGTTTCCGATTAGCATTTCAGTCTGTTCTCTATTATAATTATGTAAACTACAGGAGAATGCTAGTTAGTACTTTCAGACAGGACTACACTTCCAGAATCGTAGGATTTCTTCAGATGCATTCTGCAATAAAGGATCTGGCAATACATAAATAACTGATACAGCGTCACAGCATCCGAACATTCTCCTTATTTGAACACAGCCTCATTAAATGAAACGAACTAATATCAAGGTCAAGTGCATATTGCTTCATATTCGGCATGTCCTGGGTTCCTACCTAAGCCAGGAGACAGCCAGCCCTGAGTTAGGTTTTCTTGGTTTAGCTTAGTCCTTCCAGGCAGATACCGGAAATACGTATATACAACATATTACTTCAAGAACGCTTCCTCACATCCTTTCTAATTCCTTATTCACTGACATCCTAATGCTCGACGCTACATGATCTGTGTTGTTGGCATTGTCGAGAAACATTCGCTTCTGAACGGTGGGCAGTACGTGTAGATAGAATTTGCAACGAGGGGAACTGAGTTACTTAGCTCGGGGGCTAAGGCGGTTAGATATGGACGTTTCGTCACGGAGGCCCAGGCGCAGCTTCAGGACATCTTAAGGCGAATTTCCTGATACTAGTCATCCATCGCTGTCTTAAGTGAAAGCGTGGTATCACAACCTCTGTCCTGAGTTCAGCTCTCATTCCTGGCCAGGCATATGACGGGACTCCGAATGAGGAAATTTGATTTTATGGGCGTAAATATTGTTTATATTTTAATTATGAGAGGTAATATTAAATTCGGCTGATCACAGTGGCCGCGCGTTCTAAAGCATGAACCGTCTTCGCCCACTCGGACACTGGGGTCGTGGGTTCTAATCCTAATCCCTGCATGAATGTCTGTGTGCCTTTGCCCTGTATTTGTCTTGTTCTGTATGTAAGTAGCGGTCTTACGATGAACCGATCTCCAGTTTAAGAAGTCCTGTCAACTGTGTATAGGATTAAGAAACTGAAAAGCGGCTAAGGTCCAACAAACGTCTGTACAATCATAGATAAATAAAATGTTAAATGAGACACCAGGAAACCGTGGAGGAAGAGCCGAAATGAAGCTCCCAACACTGCCGATCTTGTGGGATTTGAGGTTTACACAGTGGTGAGTATGATCTTCTGGGTTGTACTGCTGAGTTATATAGTAGAAGTCTACCGGTGTTTCGGAGAAACGTATCGCCTCCACCTTCAGAATCGAAGAATAAGCCAAGCAAGAAACCAGCATTAAGAGCCGTTAGAAGAAAAGTTCTCCTAACTGAGTACGTTCCGAAATCGATTTCGCTACGGGTGTGCTCGGTGTGCCTGTAGACAAATAAAATCCTGTCCATAACCGACCAGCTTATTTAGCTGTAATGTTTCCCCTTGTTCTAATTATTCCGAAAGCTATGCAATGTAGTATCTGATGTGATTTGTTGTAGCTTTCAGACCAAGTTGTTCGTATTTTGCTCAAGAGATGGCAGCAAGCCTCGCAAATTGCTTCTAATCGATATTACTGTCAAGGGTGTCTGCCTCCTTGTCGGATTTCCGAAATAAGTAGGTGAACTTTATATTCACCTGCAGTGGTTGATGAATTAAAATAATTATATGTTCGTTGTCTTACGTGTTAATTTTTTTTTAATTGCTTATTAGGGAGTGGAGTCAAACTGGGTCTACTCGGCACGGCGGCTACTGATTGGCCTATTGTAGCCTGCCCCGGGTGATTATGATGATGGAGAATTTTGTGGAATAAAGATTGGTTGGGGAAACCGAAATACTCGGAGAAAATCCGCCCCAGCGCCACTTTGTCCACCACAAATCCCACTTGACCAGATCCGGGATCGAATCCAGACCGCCAACGTGGGAAGCCAACGACTAACCGCTTGAGCTACGGCGCGGCCTGTCTTACGTGTTACTGAATTTACTGAGGGCCTGTATAGGTCCTCTTTATATATTGTGAGACCATTGCTGGAGCCATGGTATAACGTGCGTTGTGTAGGTAACCACACAGAAGAAAATATATGTGTTCAACAACGTATCCCATATTACGCTCCCATCGACCGTCGTTTACAGGTTGCAAAATTCATTGCCAACTTTCACGAAAAATATCATATTTAAATCAGTAAATACTGATGTAACGTACGGCTTTACAACGAAGAAACTCCCTTAAAAACGGATCTGCTCTAGTTAATGCAGAAAAAATAACAGGGCTTGTGCTATATTTGTTTATTTGTCACAAATGTAGGGTAAGGTTGCTATCGATGGGCCGGCTCCTTCGATGGGCCACCTCCATTATTTTGTAGTTATTGACAGTAGGCTCTACATTGTGACTGTTTAGTGTACTACATGAAGCTTGAAAATCGCCATCTTGACTGTGAGTTGATCCACGCACAGACAAGGTTCCTATGCAAGAAGGTAAGCTTTTTGTACTTTTCTTCAAATTTTTCAATGTCAACAAAATATGGATATCAGTGAGACGTTAATAGTGTTTTAGTTGTTACTGATAATATTTAAAACTGTGTTAAATCAGCGCTATTTAGCCATATTAACAATGGAAGTTTACTTTGTTATAACCGAAGTCACGGACGTATTACATACGGTCTGCTAGTTGTCTTCAATGGGCCAGCCTGAGTTGCTATGAATGGGCTGGTGGCCCAACCATGGAAACCATATCGAGGCTAATATTTTTGCAACTTTTTCGAGTTGTACAATAAAATGTCGTATCTGATTGTGTAGAAACCTATCAGGAGTAATTAAATCTATAATTATATAATCTCATTTTCTTTATTATAAAAATAATTGTATTAATCTAAATCTGAGTATCCCTCATTCGTGTGTAAAATGAATATTTTATTGAAATTATCGTAATGATTTTCATTATTTCATGCGTAATTTACGCCTATTTGTAGTTTTAGAGTTTTATCTGGCCAATTAATAGATTAAGAAACATGCATAGTGTAGGCTATATCTATGTTTTTTTATCCTAGATGCTGCTAGGAGTGAAATATGGTAAATGGGAGGAAGATGATATGAGTCGTGCATTTGATTCAGTGCGAAATGGTGACATGGGCGTGAATGAGGCTGCCAGAACATATGATGTTCCGAGGGCAACGTTGCAGAGACGTTTAAAGGGAAAAACCTGTTTTGCAGTGGAGCATAAAATAATAATAGGTAGCACGGGTGACCTGCCCGAAAGGGGATGAAAATGTATTACTGCGAAAAGTGCAACTGAACTCAGCAAGAATGAATAATTGATGCAGTAATTTCTGTAAGATTAATAATAATAATAGTAATAATTATTGTGCTATTTTAAAGTTTTCAAGATATGGTTATTGTTCTTTTTACACTAATTATAAATTATCCTCAAATTCTCACTTCCATTAAATTGTTTCTAATAAACAAAATTCGATGTTATTTCGTAGATTCTCACATTATTTTATGGTTACAAAAGAGTAAACAAAAATCCTACTCCTGATTTTAAAGTAGCATTTAATGATTCCGTGTGAATAATGCGAAGCTATCTTTAATATGTTTCAATGTATTTTCTGTGGTCTGTGTTGGTCTCTAATCAGCATTTAATATTTACGAATCATGCTCAAAATAGTTTTAAACATTTTACTGACTTGTATTAAGGCGATACTGTATTAAAAAATAAAATAGCTGCCGGCCCATTCATAGAAACTCCCCGGCCCAATGAAGGCGACCGGTTTCCTTCATTGGGCCAATGACACTTATTTTTATTTTCCCAACAGTTACTTAACCTTTCATAATTGTAACGTCTATTTTTAGATATGTGTAGTATGAAAAGTAATATTTACATTAACGTGTACAAAACTGTAAAATTGTCAAATTTGACGATTTTAAGGAGCGTTTTGTTAAAGTGGCCCATCGATAGCAACCTTACCCTAAAGTGCATTATTTCTGCTGTTATTGTGGCAGCAGCAGAGTTGGACTTAGGCTCTTCATCGTTTGTTCCGTCGTTTGTTCCATTTTTGTAGGCTGATGATACAACCAACCACTGCAGTCTTCAGTCCAATATTATAAAATGATTTGACACCGTCCGGTGTGACTCAAATGTATATTTACGAGTATATGATGCCTTTACATGTTTCGTATCAAACGACCATCCTAACAAGGCACAACATGTTGAGGAGACTACTGTTTCGTTGGTTGAATCAAAATATAATATAAAGATTTTAATTAAGACAAACTGTTATTGAGTCAAAAATTGTTAACATTTTATAATATATATAACTAGTGTGACGGACCGGAATGAATACAATTAAAATTAAATCCACTAACTCACTCAAATTCCACTCTTGACACTGTTGTCACGTGTACTAAATGTGACTGTTATTCCCCGGATATTAACAATTACTACAGAGCTAGAAGGTTTTCTTGGAACAAAATTAATCTTTGTATTTATAACAAAATAAAATTACATTTTGGAATTGACTCGAGGATTATATATCTGGTTTAAATTAATTACGGAATGTCTTACGCTTATGTTATGTGTAGAAAATAAGGCACACCGTTCCACCCACTAATAATACTTCCTTCCATGTGACGAGAGCAGCAGTTAAAGCCTGTCATGGCTAAAATATTATTGCTATTATTGTTATTCTGAGCCTGTTCTGGTAAGAGCGCTTTTTGCTGACATATGTCTGTATATACTTAGTATTTAGGAACCGGGATAGCGCAGTCAGTACAGCGACTGGCTACGGGCTGGACCACCGAGTCCTGGCAGGTTCAAGAATTTTCATTTCTCCATGGCTTCCAGACCGGCTTTGGGGTTCACCCAACCTCCTATACAATGGGTACCGGGGCTAAAGCGGCAGGTGCGTGAACCTGACCATTGAGCTCCAACTAGTGCCGTGTGGATGTGGATCTATATATCCACTCCCCCATACATCTTCATGGCGTAGTACTTAATTAGTTAAACACAGGGACAACTTTACCTTTTTCCCTTATGTATACGAATTAGTTGCTCGAGCTGGTTCAATTTCGTATAGCAACAGGCGTGACCAGAGTGGTTTGAACGGCTGTTGTACTGCGATGTGGAAAGCAAATGGAAAAATTACCACATTATCACTTTTCCTGGATAGTCTCTTTCCAAAAACAGAAGATCGCATTAAGTGGGGAAACTGTTTTGGAAGAGACTGGGTACCTGTTGTTCGACAGATTACTGATGAATGAATGAATGAATGAATACGTATTAGTATTTAGCATCTGCATATTCTGTTGTGTTGTAAGGATAATTATCTCTATCCTGCACCATAAGTATAATTTTTAGCGATTCATTAAGACAGTGTAGCGTGGGTTGCGTCTTCATATTGCAGTAACGTTGGCACAATAACCACAAATGATGCATGTTTTGGGAAAAGAAATAGATGGGGGGTATTTTTGGTATCTGAAGTACCAGGTTACTGTCATTGTTATTTTCATTTCACTGGCTGGGCAGAGGAGCAAAGGAGCCTTGCAACTTGTGACTAAATGCCAGTAACGATGGTGTCTTGTCACATTCAGACCCTGTCGACTGCTGGCAACTTCTTATAGAGTTGTCTTTGCTACGGTAGCTTCCCTGTCGAGTGACCCGCTATCTAGAGACTATTGCGCTATTTCTGCCACCAGTCGTCCTGATTAAGACTAGCTATGGCAAGGATCGAGTAGGTTGGCACTAAAGTTCCAAACAACAAGGGCATAGCTCTATAATACTGTGACGTATAGATCCGTTGCCAAGCAGTGATTCTGTAAACATCGGCCGTTGCTAGGTAACGTCCTCAAAATTCACGCACTCAACAATAGAAGAACGTCTTTCTCTATGTGGTCCCCACAGCGACTGTTTCTATACAGCAACGAAGTAAATACGCCTCTGCAACAATAGAGGCTGTGCTGTCTGCGGGGACCGTACCGAGTACTTATCTTGAAGACAACTGACGCTAGAGGAGTCAGTTGAGTGTTCACATGTGAAGTGTTAAACAGAGGGAAACAGAAGCGGTATAATCTCCATTGTTCAGATATATTACCAGGAAACGTCTAGTGAAGACACGGCAGAGGAGTAGCCATTGTGGAGAGCTGTTACCAAGTAAAGACTAGTGGGAATAAACTGAGAAGTCTTAGTGTCCAGTGGTTTGTGGTGTGGAAGTCGGCAGTAGTGTAATAATTATTCGTAGTTACCACCTGTAAGTATCCAAGAAATCCAGTTACTCGTACAAATGCAATCCCTATGCTTAGTGACACGTGATAATACGTATTGCATATAAATTTAAATTTTCAACATATATTGCTCCGCCTTGCCGTAGTTTCTTACGAACCTGGTTCTATTTAGTAATTCCTAATTCCATTACACTTCTCTGGCCTTCGCCTACCCTGGTTCTAACTTAGTTTCTAGTCTTTTCCACTTCCGATACAACAAGGGTATAGCTCTGTAATACTGTGACGTACACACTTCCGTTCACTGAATAAACTGCCACATTGTCTACGTATTCATACCCACCACCATCTGGTGAGGAAAATATTAATACAGCGAGTTTGAATTTCCCAGCAACTTCCTAATAACTGAAGCATGCTAAAAACAGATTTTATTAACCATCTAATGATGATGAAAAGGTGTACGCCACTAACGGACGATGACGCATCCTGGTCTGGTTCGTGGACTGCTCCAAGGATATAACGCCCTGTCATTTCGTGAAACGCCACCAGGAGCACACTGCATGGTCTGGAGGAAGATTTCTACTGGACCCTTCCCAAAGCGTCACCACAGAGTCATCGTTATCATAACCGTCACTACCACAAACCTAGTTGCATTTTAAGGATATTTTGAACAAAAACGTCGTCTCTCATCTAGGGGTGTGTTATAATATTAAGATTCCAAAACCTGCATTCAATTAGTTTTATATTTGGTCCAATCAAACTGATACTTTTATAAATCTGCTACTTTCTATCCCCCACTCTTCTAAGAAAAGATGTGTTTTGCATAATATAAATAAAACGTGATATTACTCTTCCAAGAAACTGTCCCAGACCTTATTTCGTAAAGAAAGGTACAGTCTGTAGCGCCATCGAGTCAATCTATGTCCTCCTCCTGTGAACGATTTTCATGACACGTTGTGCGGATAACTTTACTTCGAAGTCCGGTGAAGATGACGGGTGACGGATGGTTGTGCTAGCCACTAGACGGCCAAGATCACTATCGGTACAGCATAGGAAACTGTCATGGAAAATCTGGCATTCATGATAACAGATCGATATAAATCAGAAAATTGTCAAGCACTGAATCCTGATGGACCTGCGATTGTAGTTTGAACTCTGACTTTTTTCGCTCGGTAAGTTAAGCAGGAACTAATAGTTCCACCGACTGTATCCCTCCGCAAAAGGAAGAAGTGGTCAGCGCGGAGCGGGCAGGAATCATTGTGATGTCACTTCCAGGTCCCGAAATAACTTTCGAGAGATGCATGCTAAGGAGACCAATGGTAGCCGGGTACCACCGGCTGCACATAGTAATCTCCTTTTTGTTTCTGTCGGATTCGTCTGCTGCAGAATTGACTAATGCTCAAAGTGGAGCGAGTCTCTACCACTCCTACCAGCACACCCATTGCATTTAGGCCAGTCTCACAAAAGGCAAATTTTAGAAAGGCTTCTTTTTAATATTCTTCTTCAATATCATTTACTAAATATACACATAGACTACAAGTGAGAAAACTCCCACGTGTATAGCATTGTTTGAACAGTCGACATTTTCTTACATATTCAATCATTGAAGTATGTTTCTGACTCCGAAGTTACAGCACAGGCACTAGAAGAGTCCGTCATTTAACGACGTTAATTCAACTAAGTGTTCCTTTCAATAATTTATTTCTTATAACTACCCTAACGAAACCTTGTGCTATTCTCCAAGTACAATTAGAATAATCAAGTCAAGGAAGGTGAGGTGGGCAGGGCATGTAGTATGAATAGGGGAGAAGAGAATGTATGTAGGATATGTGTGGGAAAGCCAGAAGGGAAGAGACCACTGAGAAGACCAAAGCGTAGGTGAGTGGACAATAATAAAATTGATCTTAGAGAGATAGGAAGGGATGGTATGGATTGGATTGATCTGGCTCAGGATAGGGACAAGTGGAGAGCTCTTGTGAACCTTCGGGTTCCATAAAATTCTGGGAAATTCTTGAGTAGTTGCAGAATTGGGGGCTCCTCCAGAAGGGATCAGCTTCATATGTAAGTAGGTAACCTAACAACAATCTGAGCTGAATAAATTAGTCACTGCTTTGTAATATAATTAGCTCCATTCCAACTTAGTTCGCTCTTCGCTCAATATATTGTCTTTAATAATAGTAATAATTTATTTTGTACTGTCAAATGAAGAGTCTACGTTTCTGTCGTACAAATCAACTCATAAAATGATTGTACGAGTATTTTCTGTTTTTAGTGATATTAAAGCGGCGGTCCCTCGGTCAGTATAGTTCGCTTGCGGGCTATAGGCCACGGAGTTTGTGTGTGTATGTACATAAAGACGACTTATTTAAAACACATTTTTCTTCAGAAAGTCTAAATATGTATTTGATGTGCAACACATGGCGAGAATTTTATTGTAAGGTTTTAAAGACTAAACCTCGTTTTGAAGAGCAGCTTATAAAAAGAACGTTCATCACTGGGAGAAAATATGTTTCTTTGAATATTTCTCTCTCTCTCTGCCCCCCCCCCCTTCTTTTCTTTTTGCTTCCACTTTGGAGCAGAGGGCATCCGTGAAACGCTTTGTTTCACTTCAGTTTCTTAATCCTAAGACAGTCGGTGGCGTCGGTGGGACCCCTAGGACGGGAGATCGGCCCGTCGCAAAGCCGCTACTACACAAACATAGAATAAACGCAAACATACATCCATGCCCCGAGTGGGATTCGAACCCACGATCCCAGTGTTCAAGAAAGCGAAGACAGTTCATACCTTAGACTACCCGGCGACTGTGGACGGCATTTCTCGAATCAATACTATAATAATACTGACTGACTGTTGTTACCAGTGGGGTGGTGACTCACCCCTCACCTGTCTCACACATCTACCCTTTGCTACAACTAGAGAATCTATTCGCTTCTGTCACGGACTGGTATGAGCTCATTTGCTACAGCCATTTCTAAAGGCTATTCTGTGATCATATTGAAACCCAGAAAGCGGATGCTAGTTTTCCCTGACGCAAAGCAAAGGGCCTAAAGTGCTCTGGACTCCAGAACGTTCTAAGGATAAAAATAGGCATACTGCAGAGTCAGAAGCATTTATCTGGTACCACCAGTACGGACTCCTACGGAGTGTATCATGTAGTGGCCAAATATTCTGAATTCATTACAATATATTACTTGCTTACATACTTCACGAAAGAAGCCGAATGCGCTTATTAGAAATGTTGTTACAGGGCCACAAAAATTAAGGGTTTGACCGAATATAGGGGCTGAGTGGTAAGTGTGAATGATTCAGAAGGGAAAAAAAATTTGTAAAATATATGTGTTTTCTATGTAACAGATTTTTTTTCTTTGAACTACAGCCCCAGTGAGCCTAGGCCTACCTCCATGAACTCTGTTCACTTCGATTTTTCTAGATCTTACACATTCGGTAGGACTCCTTTGGCGAGTGATCAGATCGTCGCAAGGCCTCTACCTGTAGACAAACACAGAAAAACGCACACAAACATCCATGCCCTGAGTGTGATTCGAACCCACGATCCCGGCTTCCGAGCGAGCGAAGACAGTACATGCCTTAGACCACTCGGCTACCGTTACAGGCATGTAACAGAATTGGTCAGTTTAAATTGTGTTTAAACGAATCCGCATGGCAAACAGTTAGGAAATTATAGTACGTCTCTACTAGCTTCTTGCATAATTCTGAACAAAAATCATAGCAATCCAATCCGTGGTAGTAATATACTTTTGAATATTTTATAATTAATTACAGGTTCAGTAAATCCTCTTACCTTGAAGTAAATTCCAAAATTACCGTTTAGTTTCCTATAGACAGACTGTATCATACTTGGATCGTGAGGCACAGATATCTCACCACGGTGGACCAGGTAGTATACCAGTTTATTTCTCGCGGGATTTGTGACGGGTTATGTGGCACTGGGGCAGAATTTTCTCCGAACACTTCTGTTTAATTTTCTTTCCATCAGTTCTCCTTACTTATCTCTCAACGAGCTTTGCTTGTAGTAAGTCCACTGGAGGTTACTATACAGGCAACACTATCAAGGACTTAGTACCATCCATTCTTATAATAATAATTCTATTAAATTCTTGTTCTTTTTTAACGTGAAAACTTAAGAGCCCAGAAGTTAGGAGTACGTAGAAAGAAAAAAATAAAACTTACAAACAAAATATAAAATAGAGCAATTTATATTATAATAATAATAATAACAATAATAATAATGATAGTAATAATAATTGTAATAATAGTAGTAATTCCGTAAAAGCTCAGGGTTATAATTAACAGAGGAGAAAAGTAAAATAGATATATTTTCAATGGTTATGCTATTGCGCAACGAGAAAAGATAATTCTGTATTTCAGTACCCTGTTGCAAAAATTTTAATAAAAACATCTATGTATCCGCAGTCCGTCAATAATACAATTGTTTATTCACCATTTTAGCACTTAACACAACATATAGTGGCCATCTATGGCCGAAACATTTTGTGTTAAATATCAAAATGGTGAATAAACTATTGTTGCATTATTGACGGACTGTGGATACATAGACGTTTTAAAGATAGAATAATATTCATACGTACATATACGTATAATAATAAAGACAGTAGTAGAAATTATATAATATTACAAAATATGATTAAGGAGGATGTTCCTGGCTCCGAATATTTCAGCGTCCCCGCAAAAACATTAGCAGGTGATGCACATCTAGCAGAGGGACAATTTTTACATGAGAAGCAGAGAAAGTCTCTGATAAACCAAGAAGGAATTCGAAGACCAACAATTTCGAAAGGAGGAGGAGAGATTTTAGAACGAAGGTACAATTGAACAAGAAAGAGTACGTGGATGGATGGATGGATGGATGGATTTGCTCAGTATGCAGATTGCTTTAAGTGAGGTTACTTCTGTCAGACCGTCCACACTGGGAAGGATGTCAGCAGTACGGCAGTTGACTGAAACTTCAGCGATTAATAACGATTGCTGAGTCAATGAAACGTCTGCTGTTGTTCGTTATAACGGTAAAGCAAGTAAGTAAAAGGCCGCGCCATAGCTCAAGCGGTTAGTCGCTGGCTTCCCACCGCGGCGGCCCGGGTTCCATCCCGGGTTTGGTCAAGTGGGATTTGTGGTGGACAAAGTGGCGCTGGGGCAGGTTTTCTCCGAGTACTTCGGATTTACCTGCCAATCTTCATTCCACCAATTGCTCCACAATCACACCCTCCTATCATCTGGGGCTGGTGTAATAGGCCAGAATTTGCAGCAGTACAAGGGACTTACTCCCACCCCAATAAAAATAGTTAAAGTAAAGGCATCCCAGTAACAGGCCGTGGAGCCACATAGGATTGTGAGCTGTTGAGGTTTCCACATTTTCTAGGTAATCGGCTATTAGATAGCGGGAAGGTTGTCAGCCTTACGCGCCGGCCGCCCTTTGCCCCCAAGAATATTCCTGGTACTCATTTATGTTAAAGACTGAGTAGACCCCAGGGCCTTATCGTGGCTGGACGAATTATGTAAATTTAAAAAATTCACCTCATCGGGATTAGATCTCAAAACCTTCCGGCTTGTAGCACAGTGCCTGAACCAACTACGCTGCCGTGCATAACAAGTACACAAAATTTGGGAGAAATATTTCTTTGTGCGTCCTGGTTTGCACTTTTTTTATTAAGCGTAATATTAAAGAAAGAAGGCCTTAGAAGACGGATCAAATTGGGCTATGCTATAACAGTCTTCATTTCCATAAAGTTTGTGGCAAAAATATAAGCTTTTAATCGAGTTTTTATATTTCATAGAATAAATTACATCATATTAACATTAGAAATCGCTCGGAACCAGAAGAACTATACCAGGCCTGCGGCGACTGCTTTAATCTGTGATGTACGAGGCGAAGTGCTCGTCTGGATCTTCAGCCTCAAGGAAACATCCGCCACTGATCGGCTAAAATTGGCCGCTGGCCTGTATTGAGGATAAGACGCTATTTATAGCGAACTGCGGGACCGAATTCAGTTAGTGGAGCAACTCAGAGAGAAAGGCGTGCGGGGTGCGTACATTGCGGTGATGTGCTGGTGATATAGTGATATTTCCTTGTCTTGTGTTGGTGACCTATGTGTGTGACATTTTTGGCTTTTCTCTGATTTTGTGCTGATGAACATACCCTAATCCAATATTATTTCAGTTCTTGTTGCTCTCTCGTATCCTATTACAAAACAGTCCTTTTAGTGTGAAAATAACTCTCGTATATAACGCGCGGTTCTCTTTTATTTTGTATAGTTCTGTTTAGTTGTAGGAGTAGGCTGAGTCTATGTCCATCGACACTGTGTGCTCAAGTGGGCCTGTTGTACTGTCCTCTGATAATAGAATGAGTATGGAGCGTTGCGGAATAATAATTGGCAGGGGAAAACCGAAGTGCTTGTAGAAAAGCCTGCCTTAGTGTCAATTTTTCCACCAAAAATCCCATACGAACTTTGAATAGACCACCCACGATGAGAACTTAGCGATTATTCATCTGGACCGGGGCGCGGAATTTTGTTTTGTGCAAAGAAGTAGGTTCTTTAGGCAAGGAACTCGTACTATATAAATATTTTTTAGATTATACCACAACAAAGAAATTTAGTATCGCAGTTTATGAAGTAAATATTAACACACGGAGAATACAGTATTAAGAAATAAGTCATTTAAACACAAGGACAGAATTCTCATTGCATCTGTGTTCGTGTAATAGAAATAAGATTCCTCTGAATTTTGAAGAGTAAATAAACTTCAATTCAATAACGCAAACAATTCCGTTACAAGACAACATCATTGTTCCATAAAACAATGAAGGCCTACAGTAAATTCACACACACACACACAAATATAAATTCATTTTAAGAATTGCGATAAAAATCATTTGATACACTTTACATTATTTAATTATTCGTAAATACACCCATTTTGAACTACTAAGTTTTTAATGGCTGCATAGAGCCATTTACTAGACTCTATAACCTCACAACCCAGAACACTCTAATCTATGGACACCGTCACTGTCATGAGAACCTCTGTTCTCGCATAGCAGAGGCTCTTCCCCTTACTCTGTCACGAGTGCAATAACCCACTCAAAACGACACTCCCTGTACACTGCTTTAAACTTGCTGCTGTTCCAATGAAGAAGAACACTGCGTACCGAGCGAACAGATCTTCCCAAGATTATAAAGCAATAAGAAGGAAATATGCAGGGTGTTTCACGACTTTAGGGCATAACTGCATGAGACAATTTCCTAGGTCTTTGTGATCAAAAAAGTTCTTATAAACATGTGTCCGATTTTGGATTGTTACGAAGTTATGACCGTTTTTTCATTCCCGTACACGCCCTCGTGTGAACAGCGTCTGTCATCTGGCAGGTCGCTATTTTTAGCCAGCTAACGACAGAGCGCTCTCGTTATCTCGACATTTGAGATGTACCTAAGGCTTGGTGGGTTGGTATATCCCGCGCGGTTCACAACCGAGCGTCAGCCTGTGTTGCGGCCGGCGGTGGCATTTTAGAAAATCAGCTTTAAGCACCAATAAATTCAAATTAAAAGTAATTTCACGAAATTAACTTTACATTCATACCTTAAATATATCATGTACGTGTATTATGCTGGTTTATTATTTTGTTCCGTTTATTGTCAATAATCGTTACCTTCTATTCTGAGTTTAAAACGGCCATAACTCCGTAACCGTCCAAATTCGGACACATGTTTATATAAACTTTTTTGATCACAAAGATCTAGGAAATTGTCTCCTGCAGTTATGCCCTAAAGTCGTGAAACACCCTGTATTGTCACGTATCGACTATTAATATATGCTCTCCATAGACATTCAGAATTAAATATAGATATTGTCACTATAGACGGGGTATGGATTGGATATTTGCGTTTATTTACGCATTATACACACCACTCGGAACTACAGGCGATTACAGGGCTATCGCTTATCCATACACTTTGCAATTCACAGTTTACACACATACACTAGTGTTCTCAGTCTTCATTAGTCGTATCCTGGCAGCGCATTTTAACAGTTTCACTGTCACTGCAGCAAACACGAAGCCTTCTTTTCGCAGCCTGATGCCCTTTTTTGCCATTTCAAGAGACCCCCCTCAATTCTTCTGACAACAAACTCGTTGTTTCAAACTGTCCTGCTTATAATATCTCGGCACGAACTACATGGAAAGCACCATTTCCTAACAATTCCTCTATTTTTACAGAGGCGTGTTTACCTCTCCTTTTCACAGAAACGGTAGTTCTTCTATTGTTGAGTGGCTGTTCATTTCCGTGGAAAACTCTTTTTTGCGGTAAATAGCAATGAACTATTCCGGCTTTCAGGTACCATATCACAATATCGTCCACTGGTAAATGGTGTTGGAGAAGCCTATTCAGAAGTTTTGTCAATTATTTATGCCAAAAAATAATCCTATACGTTGGGTATTAAAAGTCATTCACCTCTGACGTTGTACATTGCAGGATTGCGCAGAACCAGTCAATATTCGATATAATACCGCACCTAATAACAGTAGACCTATGTGCGTTTACAAAATATCACTGAACAGTTTTCATATTTCAGTTAGAATTATTAATCAGTTATGATCATAATAAAATACTGAATGCCGTCATTAAATTATTTTCCATTTTGTAGCCCGCTTTCTTTATTTAAAAAATGGAAACATGCTTATGATATATCCATACCGTCTATGTGTCTGTAAATATCCCCTTATTAATTTTTTACTTTCCAAACAAATCTTTATGATAGTTGGTGTGTACATCATGGCGCCTGAGCCCATCTCCACTGCGCACTTCATAATTTTCTTCCATTAATCTGTGTGTCTGTGTGTCTATCTCTGTTATTGTTGCTAGGAAAAATCTCAGTAAAGTATGTCCTTCTTCTTTTGCTAAGCAACGGCTCGGTAGAAACCTTATTGGAGCACCGAGTACCACAAGACAATAGAAAAACTGTTAGACACGTCGTTTTCTATGCGGCACGTAAGATATCAAAAGAAAATATACAATTACCCATTTCCAGAACTTATTGTTTCCAAATGAATTATTATTATTATTATTTTTATTATTTTTATTACTCTACAGCCCTTCATTGGGACTTGGTCGCATTTTCAGATTTTTGGTCATGTACACAGTATCTGTGGATAGTAAATCAGCCAGTTGCAAGGCCGCTACCTATGCACAGAACAACACACACAGAATTAACGCACACAATAAAGATATCCATGCCTTGAGTGGGATTAGAGCCCAATATTCCAGCGTTCGATCGAGCGAAGGCAGCTTGTACCTTAGACCACGTGGTCACTGTTATCGGCAAATTATCTGTATAGAAGGGGTAAATCTTTCAAAGCATTTTTATTGCTGTACAAAATATCAAATGTCGTTGATAAAAATTGAATCATTCGTATGATAATACGACCGCAATGTTAGTATCGGTGACAACAGGGAGTTAATAATTACCGTGGGGGGGAGTCTTCAACTCCATGATGCTCATAACAAGATCGGTGCCTATAGTACTGATGATTCTTCAGAAATCTCAACTCTTTCCATGACCACGCATTCACAGCGTACATAATCTCCATCAGATGTCCTGCCGGACAGGGTTTCTTTGGATGCTCTGAGTGAAAGTTACCTCCGTGTGTTCCTTTGTTGATTTTTTTTCGTTCTAACAATGCAACTAGTCCGAGTCTAACCATCAGTTCTCTTCTGACTTAAACTGCTACTGCTACAACTAAACGTCTAAGACTACGGCCACCGGTGTGTCCCAGAATCAGGTGTCTTGAGCACATTGTTGTCCCTGTAATTCAAGCGGCTTGAGCCTGCATCTCCGTATTTACATTAACACGCACTTACACTTTTTTTTTCCTTGGCACTATACGCCAAGTGGGCCTAGGCCTATCTCCATGAACTTGTCGGTTCACTTCGGTGTTTCTAGATCTTAGACATACGGTAGGACTCCTTGGGAGGGTGATCAGCTCGTCGCAAGGCCTCTACATACACACAGGACAACTCAAACACAGAATAAACGCACACACAGACATCCATGTGTTGAGTGGAATTGGAACACACGAATCCAGGATTAGAGCGAGCGAAGACATTTCATACCTTAGACTGCGCGGCCACCGTGATCGGGGTGTGTGCAAGCTTACGTATAAAACATTACAGCAGACATGCGTATTATTTAATGTGGCTGGAAATATATATCTCAGTTTCTGTTATTCAAGTCTTAAAAGTTAAGAGGATATAATTTCCAAGCCATCGTAGCCCCTTTCTGCTTGGCTAAGCTCCATCTCTTCATCCGTTTGTGAAAGGGCTATGACTCACTGATATTGCCGTCAGAGGGGAGCTGTAACAGAGTTTTAGACGCTTTCTGCATAAAGTAACGGTGACGTCACACCCTTTGTCATTGCTCGAAAGCTGTCACTAAGGGTTAGTAAGATTGTCACAATGCTGTCTGTGATCTATCTGCAAATGCATGGCACAATTCCCAATTGCCAACAAATCTCCAATAACTTACTGCCTAAAGATGCGAGTATTATAAAATTGTATGTTATGTTTTAGGAGCATTTTATAATTTGTGATTGAATATTATGGTGCACTGAGAATTTCCATTGGCTCACTGAATGGGTTTGGTACCAATCGATTCCGTTTGTACATTATTCAGTAATCTAAATATCAGTCTTTTCCAGGAAAATTTAATATTAATAAAAAGTTCATGTGATGGGTACACGCCTCTCTAAAGTACTAAATTCAGAAAATAGCAAGAAATGTAAAGCCGTCACTATACATAAGCACCTAATCACGAAGGCGTGTAGGGTACATGAAGGCTCCGGCCGCTTTATCTCCATTGATTGCTTCCTTTGTTCCAATTGGATAGGACGGTGAGTTGCCCTCGAAGCCTCTATGAGTGCGGGTACAAATATCTGACACTCCCGGGAAACGAACCTTAGCAGAAAAGACCGCAGCAGTCACTTTGCTAGCCAAATTGTCCCCGGTCTATTTTGTTTATGCTAGCCGTATTGGCATGACATTTCAGTAGAACGTAGTGACATCCTGTTTATGTAAGTTGGATATCGTAGACATTTCAGACAACTGTCTGCCTTCTGCGAACTATGCAACAAGCCTTTGTTCAATTCCCAAATTAATGTGACATAGTACCACTCCTCAACAATTGTGTGACGTACCTCCTGGGTTCAATTCCCACTCAAGGTGAAGTCACGTGTCAGTGGAATGCACTACTTGTTCCAGACGACACACAGCCTCATATAACGACCGACTTCACGATAAGTTTTCATCATCATCTTCCTGAGGTGGAAAGAAAATCCGATCATGTTCAAGAAAAAGTTCCCGTCACTCTCCAGTCTTGGGGTAAGCTACTGCATTGTCGTAGTGTTCATAGTTGCAGAACTAACAGCATGTTTCAAATGTGTCTAAAAGTTCCTTTATTGAGGAAAGAAATCGAAAGTTTAACGTTTGTTAATAGTTTTAAGACACTACACGTCGTGAAACTGTAAGTTCCATTATTGAGAATTCTAATCAAGAACAAAATATGACACTGCATGCAGGCATGAATTGTTTTCTTTTTATGTCTTACATTTTGAATTAAGTTGTAGATAATCAGTTATGATCTCATTGTAATGGACAGATTGCCGATCACACCTTTTGCAGCCCGAATATATTAGAGAACAATTTACGAACTATAGACATACACTTAACGTAACAACAGTGGTGCATTTGCTTTGTTAGCCTGTTGTCCCTACATTTTCAATTATTGAATGCTGACTTTGAATGATCCCTTATAAATAGCGTAAATTAGATAAGACAGACAAGCAAGAATCTCCAATGTAAGACTTGATCAAAACCAATTCAAAAGTCCTCGAGTTATGAGATGACGCAGCATAAGATCCTCGAGAATAGGAATGCGTACAAGAGGATATTGGTGGGAAATCCATAAGGAAAGAGATCGCTAGGAAGACCAGGACGTATGTTGATGGGAAATATTGAAGAGGATCTTAAATAGGATGGGGTGATTGATCTGGTTCAGGATAGGAACCTTTGGAGGGCGCTTGTGAACACGGTAATGATCTTCGGGTTCCATAGAATGCAGGGAAACTCTTGAGTAGTTGCACAACTAGTGGCTTCTCAGGAAGGGCTCATCTCCATGAACTTAGTTAATTATGAAACTTCAAGACTTACGAAAAGATTGTAGTAGGCGTAAACTGCACATATCAGTTCTCTCTAATGTGTGTGTCCAGAATATCTTTCGTTCCAAAAAATGAACTTAGTTTATGAATTACACTTGAGATGCGAGATGGTTTTTATTATTATCCGGTTTGAAGAAATGAAAGCGTCACAGAATTTTGTACAACTTCAAGTTGCCAGATTTCATTACAATCCTTTCAGTATTCTCGAGACACATCAAGCGGTCAGACAGACAGACAGACAGACAGACAAAGAGTGGTGGCGAAGATAATAGAAATATTGCAACTTTTCGTTAGGAACTTTGCTAGAATTGAGTCAGTACATCGGTTACTGACAGAAGCTTATAAAATTATTATCCAGTTTCGATAGAAACAAGCCTTACTATATAACGTAACAGTTGTGTTCGAAATATTTATGATTCTTTTTAATTTTGTATCACTAATATTTCTGTGCAGTTTATTTACTTCTTATAAAGAATACGTCATTAATATTATAATTTGTGTAAAGCTTAGATTGAAAAGAGGCGAAACCACTCATGAAAGGAAATACTGCATGAAAAGGAACATGATAATCTCTTCCATTAATAACTTTTGTTAGGGTAATTGAGAAATGAGGTTCTAATAGACGGAACATGTAGCACTAACGAAGGATAGAATAATTATGGAAATATCTGTTGAATCACCCAAAGAAGGAGACCACCGGACACAACGAAACTCAGATTTGTGACTTACATTAACAAGGATCGCAGAAAAAATTTGTGATAATATGAACTGAATTTCCCTAGCTCAGACTGGTTTTTAATTTCTGACGATGGTAGTGAAATTTCTGGTTCCGTAATTACAAAGAATTTCCTGCAAGTCGCGATCGAAATGGCAGCACACATATTCACATTCTGGAGACTCGGGGACTGACCATCAAGATTAAAGTTCTGTTATGGCTTTTCTTTCTTGAGCCAAACCATTTCCAACCCTCTTAAAATAGGCCGCTACTGTCTCCTTCTACGTCGTTTGTTTTCGGTACTAAAGACATTATCAAGTCAAGATTTACTGTGCCGAATTCAGTAGCTGTCCTCAAATTGTGTTCCGCGGACCGGCGGCAGTCCTGTAAGTGACCATCGAGTTGTTCTAAATGGAGAAGCAGGTATACAAGAAAAAGTTTGCCCCTGTCCAACACTTGCAGCATTGAGCGGTCGAATGGGCTAGAAGTTTTTCTTTTTTATTATTATTATGCTTCTTTACAATCTACATCATTACAGAGTATTAAGTAAATGTGTTGAAGGTGGTTAGCTTGCAAGGAAAATATCCAGTGATGTTTCTCCTACATGTAGTCTATTTCATTGATTGATGATGTCTTGGGGCCATGTTCTGTTCAGTCTTCTTGTCACTGGACCGTTGGTGTATAACTCTTTTATTAATTCATTGTCATGGTTTACAGTTTGCTTTTGTACCTTTCAGCAATGCTTTGTATTTCATTTTTGAGGGAGGGTATCTTTAGGTCGTTATGGAGTGTAAGGTTGCTCAAATACCATGGCTCGTCTGCAATTGCCCTCAGTGTAAGGGTTAGAAGGCGAGCGAGATATTTCGGCTTACACCGGAACATTCTGAAGGTCACAGACGTAGGGCGTTATTTCATTTTACATTTACAAAACGCAAGTTTCCGCGTAATCGTCTGTGGTACCTATGACCAGCTCTCACCGTCTCCACATCGAGATATTTCTACTCGTATTACCCAGGTCAGCACTCAGTCAGAACCACAGTGAGACACAGTTGTGGAAAACAAATCGAAAAGACAAGTTTTAGAAACGATATTATTATAAAGATTCTGTCTTCTGGGTTATAACGCCCAGTAGTCCGTCGAAAGAGCTCTGCTTGTTACCTGCTATATGCTACATTTTGCTTGGCTTACTACTCGACTTTGAAGATGGAGGCGATATTCCAAAACAGCAGTCGACTTTCAACGGTAGCCGAGCGGCCTAAGGCATGTACTGTCTTCACTCGCTCGGAAACCGGAATCGTGGGTTCAAATCCCACTCAGGGCATGGATGTTTATTTTGTGTGTGCGCGTTTTTCTGTGTTTGTGTACAGGTAGAGGCCTTGCGACAAGCTGATCACCCGGCCAAGGAGTCCTATCAAATGTGTAAGATTTAGAAAAACCAAAGTGAACGGAGTTCATGGAGGTAGGCCTAGGCCCACTGGGGCTGTAGTGCCAAGGGAAAAAAAAACATGGCTCTGTATCCCAGAAGATAGAACTCTCATAAGCAACGCTGTGAGAACATCAAATGCTATAGTCAGGTATTTTTAATCAGTGATGTACGAGTAGGTACTTTTAGAAATACTCGTATTTATTGACTGCTTGAAGTACTGCGTGTCGATATCGCATCATGAAAGTATTCTACACATTGCGAGGTAAACCGAAGGAAAAAACTGCCAAATCAAAAGTTTTCAAGAGCGGGTTATGATGTCTTAAGCCTAAAGAAATGCGAATCTGGTCATTCAGCTGGTATCGCTAATGAACGATTTGCATATAAATCTTTCTTTGTGGATCAGATTTTGTTACTAAACGCACTTTACAGCGTTTCAGACATTAGGTTTACAGGGCGTTTGACACCGTCAACGTCATACCAGCTCTATATCCGACTTTGAATGTAGGACAGTACTATGACATGTTGGCCTCTTAATCGCATGAGCAGTATTTGGTAAATATTTGAAGATAAATGCAGCACCACGGCAACACCAAATGAGAGTGTGCTAATATTTCGATTTCCGGTTCAGAGGCTTACACGACGCACTGGCGATTCCTGACCCAGAATAATGTTCACCTGTTCTGCCCTCTCGCCCGGGTTCTGGTATTGATCTTCCGCGGACGGAGCCCGAGCTCAATACTGCGGCCATCGCTCCGAGAGGGACCGAGTCTTTCCGACTGTCTGGTGCAACGCAGTGCTGCTAACTCAGCAGAAAACCGTCACTGCGGCTGCAACCACTTGACGATTTATTCGTAAATAATTTAATCACCTTCTATCAACTACAGATTTAATGTTTAATCATTCATTAAAACATCCAACAAATTACATCCACTATATGCCGGGATAGGGTAGGCTGCGGCCTGGACTAGAAGGGGTCGGAGTTCTATTCCTGCTATGGTCAAGAATTTTCTTCTCTCCATGTCGTCCAGACCGGCTCTGGAGCCCACCCAGTCTCCTATCCAGTGGTTACCGGGGCGTTTTGTCCCAAAGGTAAAGCGGACGGAGCGTAAAGCTGATCACTCACTTCAAACTAGTCCAGAAAATGTGGCTCTATACATCCGCTCCCCCATACGCCTTCATGGCGTGGTGCTTAATAAGAAAAGCACAGGGACAACTTTACCTTCCATATGCTACTATTGACCTGTATGTTATTTAAATAATGCGGTGCTGGCAGAACCTGTGTTTATTGATTCGTAGCTTGTTTAAAGAGTCTGAAGGAAGTGTACACCACTGGTTCTCAAACTCTGTGAGACCGCGGCTCGGTAATTCTTCTTTAATACGAAGAGGCCCCGGTAAAATTGATGCCAGGGACGCGGCCCGGCGGTTCAGAAACATTGGTGTAGACTTTAGGTATCCGAGAATGAGATGAGTGGATGATCGTAGAGTATATTTCTGGAGGCAACGGGAAGGAACTCCTCTTCGAATATTTTAACGCACGCTTATTATCTCCACATGAGCCTTATGGGATGGAGAACAAACTTCCGTCCTGCTTGCCGGATTCCAGGCGAATATTCGAACCGGTTATCTCGTAAATAATGAGACGCTATGCTGCCAAGATGAACATACTCGTATCTCTTTGAATGGTTGTTGGTAGCCATATAATTGGTCCTCAAGGAACAGGCGTTCTTGTAAAAATGTTAATAGTAATATTATACATATATACACATGTATATACATACATATATACACATATAGGAATATGTTTATTCTTAAATGACTATATATATTTCGGCCTATCAAACAAACTTGATATAAAGTACGATTTTTATCACGGAAAACAAAATTTAATATATTATTTTACGTCAATTTTCCATATTTAAAGAATTATGTTAAGAATACTTAGCAGTAAGTGATTTAAAGTATTAAAATGTGCGCATATAAAGCACTACAAAATGAAGGTCGTCTCAACGTGAATAAATGAAAT